TTTTGCCGTGGACCCAAGTCGCTTTGGTTCCCTTCGAGAAGCCATTGGAAGGAACACCGAGCGCCTCGGAAGCCGCATCTTCTGGTGTTTTGGCTGTCCGTCGGATTTGTTGCGAGAGTGGTTGCATTCCTACGGCGGGGCTATTTCACATCCAAGTGTCATCCTGTGAGGATGCGCGGTTGCACCTTATCTTTCCAGCGCCTGCGCAGGCTGCCCGGAGATGTCATTGATGTCATCACGGGAAGCTGTAATCTGAAGTGGAACCAACACGGCATGAGCTGGACTGGAGCAAAAACGATCGGGGGATTCATGAATGAAATTGAGGAAAGCCCGCAGGCCGACTCAGGAAAGCATCTGGGGATTCATAAGAAATCGGTCCCGGGAGCGGGTTCCTGGGGCAGATCATCATCAGCCAGGAGAAACCTCCCGACCCATGATCTTCCATAAGTCCCGGGATCTTTTTCCGAGAACCACCGGCCGAGGCGACCCCTTCTGAACAGCTGATTCGGAGAACGAAACGGGTGTGAATGGTTTAGGGATGTTTAGGGCTAAGTTTCTGAGTTTGGTTCTCGCTTTTTTCCGAGCCCGACAGCCCGACCTTGGTTTCTTGAGTTTTCGGTTTTTGTCTCTGAATTGGCACTCTTCGTTTTTTGAAGGTGTCCACAGCCTGAACTGGACACACAACTACCATCCATTCTCTGGAAGCTTCACTCACAGGCATCCATGCCGTAGTGACACTCCAATGCCTATGCTGACAAGCGAAACTAAATTAGAAACCGATCTGACAGACTCTTCAGTTCAATTTCTCAACTAAACGAACGAAATGCTAAAATGTTAAAACCAGCGAGCCCGAACAAAAGCCGAAATCGCCAAGCCCAAACTGCGGCTCAAACCCGTAAGCTCAAGCGAACCTTCAAGCCACAACAGCCTAAACTAAGCATGTTTGATCCCTGAAGCCTCCGTCACGTCAGTCGCTACCTCCAACAGGGCAAAGCTCCCCAGTGTTTCCTATGACGCGGAGGCCGCTGCTCATTGCCCTCGCGGCCACAGGGATCGCTGGGGCTGCAGCGCCGGAAGGCTGCCTTCATTCTGTACAACATATAGTAATATAGTCAGCAAGGTAATGGATAACCGACAACACATACTGTGGTGAGGGCCGTGGCTTAAGTGCGTGCTTGCAGATTTATACATGCTTGCAAACGAACGACAGCGAGTCCGCTGGATGGGGCCCTGAATGGCTTACATGGCACTTTTTTTAAAGGTGAGGCAAAGATCCTACACACGGCCGCCTGGGCTGCTTGTGCTGGGTGGACCTGCCCGGCAATCCCACAGAATCGGTCGGGAAGGAGGGTGGGATGGACGGGACTAAAAGGGAACTTCCGGCCGAGGTTGCAGCCGCAGAAACTCTTCATGACCTGTCCACCTAGCCGCATAGCTTGCAAGGCGTACAAGCATTGACGGAAGTGTGCGACTCCGGCAGAACTGAATTGTTGAAAGTAGAAAGCTCCAAGTCACTAACACAACAGCAAAAGCTTGTGTAGGCAGAGAAGTATGTAGAGTTCTGACGTGTGGACCTGCGGGTGAGCCGTAGATGTTGGGATCATGACAGACATGCTGCCTGTATCAGATGTACCTCTCGGTTATTTATGCACACAGCAAAACCATTAGGAGAGTCCTTCCCAAGTTCCTCGAGTTAGATGATGTGTCGAGACAACAAGAAAGACCACTGTGACACTGTGACTTAACAAAAAACATGACATCCGGTTCCTGACATCCTGACATGACTCTTGCAACAAGTGCACTCAGAGAAGTGTTCGCGGCAGTGTCCACGCGGTTTCCTTTGATGAGTCCTGTCGCTGCCCTGGCACGCAATGACGAATTCTATCTCAGTTCTGGAGTCTGAGCACCTGTCTCCCCTCATCAAACCGCTAGGGACATGTGCAAGGCATGGGGATGTTTGCCACCAGATGCTGTATTAGTTCCTGCAAAACTCTGTGTACAGTGACTTTTCTTGGTGGTGCAGCTGTCTTGAATCACATGTCCCTGCGCTGGAAGGCGTAGCAAAACCCATACCGTCGTGTGTGGACCTGAGGGGCCGTTGCCCATGGCAACATCTGCTGAGTCAGCACGAAGGACCATCGCAGCAAGCGCTCGTGACCGGAGCATCAATGGTCTGAATGGTTCAGGTCCTGCCGATATTGAGCAGGGCATGGTTGCAGGCCGGCACATCCTTCGGGGGATTTCTCAGATTTGAGGTCGAGACCTTGATCGAAAGCGGGAACGGGTCACAAATACTTCGACCCTTCATTTGGGCTTGCAGAAGAGCCTTGGGCCTTGGGCTTCGTTACACTAATGGGCCATTTCGGTAAGAGCTTGCAACAAGACTCGCTGCGATGAACGACACAGGGCTTGCTTACACCTGGATGCAGAGCAGGCGATGACTCCGGAAGCACTGGCAAAAGGCGCCGAACAGTTTTGCCGAACAGACTCCTGCTGAGTCTGTGCGCAGCGAGATGTTCTCGAGCGCAGGCCATCAGTGCTGTTGCAGATGACGTCACCGCGGCACCAGGCTGCACCGGTACACGAGGATTCCGAGGACAAGCGATAGAAAGGCGAGGTGATAATGCTTCTGGCTGTGTAGAAGCTGCCACGGCAAGGAGGACGATCACATCTCTGGTCCAGCCGGAGAAGTTCGAGAGGTTCGGCTTGGATGTGTAATCTTCAAGTCTGTCATGTTTTGGTTCAGCCCACAGTGAGGCTGGCCGAGCACGGACAGAAAGGCAGCTGAATTTGCAGCGCCTTGGCTTTGATCTAGCTCACTTTACAACTCCACCTCTCCCTTTTGTCAGTCAGGGCCCTTGTTTTTCTTTCGGTCCTACTTCTCGCATCGCGTTGTGTCTTGCCGCGTTGCTTTCAGGTTCTGGAGCTGGTCGCTGAAGGAGCCCATCGCGCGATACTGGGCGTCGTCCCTCGTCTCACAAATGGCGCCTTGGGTTCTCGGGCGAGTTGTTGTTCCACTTTTTTGAGGAGGACCGGAGTGGCTTGTGGCAGTGCTGATTTGCAAGCGGGTTTTGCTGCGTTCTGCTTCTCAGGTATCCCTACGCCAGCCTAGGCAGGGCCGGGTCCAAGGGCTGATCTGACTCTCAACAAATTCGATTGCCATGGCTGGAAAGCTACTCTGAAAGCCGACACTCTGCTTGAATCGTGGCTTCAATGCTACCCATCGGTGCAGGGCACCTATCTGACTCCAGCATGCTGGTCCTGCCCGCCATGGCCCTTATATCCGTTGTCTTCAGCTGCTCAGTCGTCGTACCATCCTGAGTCCTTTTGAACCTGTTGTAATCTAAGAGACAACCTGCACCTCATGCTCCAGGTGTGCTTCGTGGCATCATATCGACCACGGCGTGGGAAGAGCTTGGACTCACAGTTTGAACCGGCCTCGAACCGGCCCCAGTTGGCACTCGCCGGGTCATGGATGCAATTGCACTGTCACGCTTCTTGCTCTCTGTGGGTGCTCGCAAAAGTCGTAAGTCTTCTGATCTCTTTTTCTTGCTTCGCTGGTGTGTAGATGGGATTTACTGTCTTGTTTTCGCAGGTTGGGGCTTCCTCCGGGCTATGGCTGTAAGCCATTCTGGCTAGGGTCCCGAGCTCAGCCAGCTTCGTGTAGGTGTAGCCTCAGCTCCTTCCACGAGCTTCGGACACACAGCTAAGGACATAACTTAAGCTTACCTTGCCGCGAGCAGGCACGTTTCTGTCAACCTGCTTTTCAACCATGGGTTGGTTTTGACAGTCGCAGAGTCCAATTGCAACTGCAACAGGCTTTCGTACTGGGCCCAAATCGGCAGGCTCCGAGGGTAGACCTCGCACGTATGTCAGCCAAAGCAAAGATCGCCTGGATAAACATCCCTGATGCCTGTGCTGGAGAGGTACATCACCCCGCTTGATGAGCATACGTTCGAGCACGACAAGCTTGGAGAGTAGTGCGCCTGAGAGGTTTCCATCCTCCTGGAAGAAAGTGGCAAGCAGCAAGACATACGGTTAAATTAACAGACGCATGGGTCTACAGCCAGTGTGAGCTCATGGGTCAAAACGCATGCTTCGCCATGGGGACAGCAAGCAGACATTTTGTGCAAAGCGATGAAACCTCGAGGGCCGTTTCATGACCTGCATCTCCTTTTCAACTCGTTCAAACCTGTAGATTAGTAGCAGCCAATTCGGATATGCAAGCCAGTTACAGCAGTGCTGCCTCGACTGGCCGAATGCTGTCGAAGCCTTGTGACAGAAGCCCTGCTGGCAAGGTGAGCCAGCAGTGGTATGTAAACCGTCATTGCAAGAAGCTTTGCCGCGGTTGGATGAGGTTGCCAAACAGTTGTGTTTTTCTGTGACTCTAGATTCGAGTTCTCTGCAGATGTCCGAGAGTCCAACCCGAGTCACAAGGATCATTTGCCAGAGTGTGTTTGGGCCACTCTGCTGAAAGAGTCCCAGATGTCCTTGGTGCCCGCAGATGAATGATGACTCAAGCGATTGACCATGGGACTCAGGGCCGAGAGACCGACTGCGGTGCTGTAGTGTTGCTATGACTCCCGATGACTCCTATGATCCATTCATATCCTAACTATGATCATGACAGTTGCGCAGCCCTTGAAGAGGATCTCAAGAGCCACTCGCCTGGCCCAGTCGCACGTTCCGGTTCGCACACTGTCGTGGAGTGTTAGTACCCACGAGAAGAACCGAGTCCTGGAGATCAGTGAGCGGGCATAGAGCAAAGAGGCCGTGGTTGGCACAAGGCGCATCCCGCTAGAAGATACGGACATAAGTAAAGTTGCATTCATTCCGTCGTGATGCGAGACGCTTGCCTCTCAAGCTCTACTTTGTTAGCAGGGCATCCAATGTTCTGCGAACAGCTCGGATTTTCAGCCAAGCCCCACCTGACTAGTGGCCAGGTTAAACATAATGCAAGCAAGTCAGCTGAGCTGCTCCGTGATCGTGATGTGAGCATCATGGGCACCGGTGCCATCTACGGCTTCATCGAGGTGGAATGCAGAGCCAACAGTGTATCGTGTGGTTTGAGCCAAGTCCAGGCAGATGCGGGTCAGAGAGTGGTGGCCTTTTGTGGGCCCTGTACTGCCACACGCCTGGCCGGGCTCTTGGGGCTTTTGGGGGTCTTTTGGCTTTTGGATGCTTCCGTGTTCGCCGAGTTCGTCGAGCCGAGGCCACTGCATCTTCAGGCTTCTTGCCCGGGCTCTCCTTCGAAAACTTGAGAGCAGCCTCAGCCCAGCTGGCATGGACCAGGCGAGCAAACAAGCCCTGGTGATCTGTGCTGGCTTGGACTTCAAGCTTCTCTGTGCTCAGGGAGCCTGCTATGGCGCCGGGATTGCTAGACCAAGAGGACGGGCCCGAAGGCAGCGGCAGATGATGCCAAGTGTCACCTCGTTCTGATAAGGCATTGAAGGAGGCCGTGACCACAGCTGCGCCTCAGCTGCTGCCAGCCGATGGATCATGGCTGAGGTCCCTTTCGGATTCCGGGATCAGAGCAGACCGTTTCCAGTGGCATAGGTATTTCTGCTGGATGACCGCTGGGCACGCTCTGGAAGGTGAGGGAACCCTGTGCCAGACAACAGAGTTCGTTGGCTTGCTGCCCTCTGTCAGGTGTGGACCGCCTTATCTCTGAGGCAGCGCGTCCAGAGTCTGCCGACTTAGTTCCGATCTGAGCATGTATCGGCTGACAAACACCGCAGCAACTCGTGGCAGCATGATTCTGCATGGAAACTGCTGAACACGACCGGAGCCATGCTGGATCTCCCTCCTTTGGATGCTTCCTTCAACGTTATTCTTTCACTGCTCTACCAACCAGGCTGCAGCAGCTTCTGTGTGGGCGGCTGCGCTCGGTCGAGAGGCTTCGAAATCTACGAGTTGCGAGCGATTCGGAGACTCAGAGGGGTCGGGAGAGACTTCGGCCGCTGCATCCCTAAATCGAGATGGGAGCAGGCTCTTGCGGACTTCCTGGAGAGGCTGCAGACGCTGCAATGGCTGTGTTGAGCGAGCTTGATATTGAAAGTGTGATAAGCTCGATAGCAACACTCCTGCGAGGCTATCCGCCAGATGTGAAGCATCACAGATGTCAGTTGCTAAGAGCGGTGCGCCTCCGTCGCTTCCGTCCTGATCTGTTGCGTCCGAGGTCTGCTGCGTTGCGCCCAGCCCTTCGCATCCGCCGTGCAGGCCAGGCGCAAAGCCACGCGTCGGATCGTGCCCACAAGAGTGCCCGCAGAAGGACGGGAGCGGGAGACCGATGAAGCCAGCTCCTTGTGCTTCCGGTTAGCGACAAACAGTTGCGTCTTCTACAGACCCAGGAGCAGCTGTTCACCCACATCTTTGATGGTCATGTGGTCACTTGGCAGCACAAGCTGGAGACCCATCTGAATCTGCATGCAAGCCAATTTTATAAAGCGTGGATGGCGCCGCGTGTGCCAGGCAGGTGTCATTTTCGACTTGGCTGCCGGCGCAGATGCAGAGGCTTCGGACGACCAGAAAGCTATTCAAAGCTACCCTGGTGTGCCTCTTTACATGCTGCATACCTGCTTGGAAGAGGCACCGGGGCCCGCCATCCACCGAGGCGACGTTGGCTGCTGCAGGCAGCTGTGGTCCACGACTCTGGAAAATTGTGAGCTGATCCAACGCCATCTGCCTTTTGAAGGTGGACTCCGCTGGCGGCTGCTGCAGAGATTTCAGGTCGACGGAAGCAAGGTGCAGGTCAGTGACAGCTGGCGACATATGTGTCCTTCTGTGGGTTCGACTTCAGTTGTCGTTCCGGAGCTCTGCGTGCCAGTTATTGCGGGCCTGCTCTTAGCCGCAAAGGCAAATGACAGAGCCTCAGACTCTTGCCGAATCTTCAACAGCTTGTTCGGCCCCTGAATTTGTCGCAGATTCGATTCTGTCGAATTACACGGGCCTCACCCCTCTCTGAGCGCTCCCCAAAGGTAGACCGGAAATGTCCGGGGCCGTGTGGATGGACTCCGCTGATGCGCGCTGCGTGTGGTCCTCGAACTTGGCGAGAGGTCGCCAAAAGCAGACAAGCAGTCCATAGTTGTAAGTTGTATCTTTGTATGTCATACTAACGACGAACAACTGTCAGTACATTATTGAGCGTATGGCATACACACATATCTATATATGAGAGTTGTTCTAAACCCCCGCCTCTTGACTGTAGCATACTTTAATATGTTGATGCAGGTTTAGGACCTGCTCCAAAACCAGCACGGCGCAAGTGCGCGGAAGGGCGATAGAGTAGTGTAAGAAGGTTTATCAGGCTTCAAGGTGGAAATGTGTTTAAAACCGTGTGAGCGCATCAGTGCGCAAGGGCGAAGCGCAAGGCGATTTTCGAGTTACGGGCTGCAACCATAATAAAGAACAACCCACATATATTGTTATATATATATACACACATATACACACATACCCACATATCTATATATATATACACACACATACACACACACATAATTACACCTATTTGTGGATACATGCTATAATACTCACAGAATAGGTTGAATAGATATAGGTGCAGGTGTAGGTTAGACATGGATAGAGATGGAGAAAAGATATAGCTATGGATTTAGGTCTAGACTTGTGTCCGACTCTTGTGCTAACTCTAATCAGATCGCAAATGGCCCAAAATAGGATTTAAAAAAAAAGAACACTTAGGAATCCTGGGCTTTTCGGAAATAGAAATAAAATAGGAGAAAAATGGGAACCCCGGCCCGCTCTTCCCGCGCTCCTTTCTGCCCTGTGGGCGGGTGTTTTTCATAGTTTTCCCAGTGTTTTTGCCTACATTTCCTATGGCTTTCCTATTGTATTTCTAGTTTTCCCCTCTTTTTCCTTACGTTATTCCTGTTTGGTTGCCTATTCATTCCTGCTTTTCTCTCCCTTTTTTTCTCTGTTTTATGCCTGTTCCCATATTTTTTGTATTCCTTGCAAATCTGGAATCCCTACAGTGTTCCTATTTTTCTCCTGAGTTGTGGTTGTGGAGGTTCTCTAGGATTAGCACTATTGAGTCGGACATAAGTCTAGACGTGTGTATACATATATATATATGTATAAATATATACATGCATATGTATACATACAATCGCGAAAACATGTCGTGCTTATATGTGATGTGTATATACACATATGTATGTATGTATATATATATATGTATATATATATGCGTGTATGTCTATATATCTAAATATACATATATATATACACATATGTATTGAAACTTGTTTTGTAGGTATGCATGTATGCATG